TGATCCTTTGAAAAAAACTCCCTATTAGTTTTCATAATCCGTAAATTCTAATACACCACCATAAAATGCCTAAATTCAGCTCTAATCAACAGAGATAATGATTGTATTGACAGATTTAAATGGAATTTCAATTGGAAAAAATCAATAAGAAATTGCTTAATTCAATTTCACCAGAATTCTGACCAATCCAACTTCAGGATTTACATTCTTACTTCCAAAAAATTTAAGTGATGGTTAATATCTGATAAGTGTAGTGAGTCATGATTTCCCTCCTGAGTAAATAGTCATATAAGTAAAATCCTACTAGGATTACTAACCTCCTTAATATGAGGTGAAACTAGTAATTCTTAATGAGAAAGTAGAATAAAATAAAACCATCTTTGGGAGAGTTGACATTTTTAACAATACATTAATCAATGAAAACTATGTTCCACTATTGACTATTCTTACTATAAGAACATCAAGGCAATATTCTAAAATTTGCAGCTTAGTGACCCTGTTTTAAATGACTACCAAACAATTTATTACTATGTCTATGTGGACTAGAATTAAACAGGAAAAGTTACAGATGTACCATTAAACTTTAAACAGGCAAAGTTTGGAGCTTATGTCAATGATGGTAAAAAACCTGATGCTTCTGTTAGATATATCCCTACAAGGTTTAATATTTTCCCAGACAATGCATTTCGGAGTTATTCATTGATATCTCTTGATAAAGAAATTTACTTCTTAGAGATACCAATAAATGTATAAATGCCTGTCTAAATACCATTCAGTGAAGATGGAACAGCAATGATTGGGAATCATTATACTACATCAACTGAATATTATGGATGGGATATTTATACAACATCTCCATTAAATGTTATCAGGATACCAGTTATTCTAGATGGGATCTAAACGATTAGGAAATAATACTAGAATAACATGGATTTGCAGCAAGCTAATTACTTTACCATTGATACTTTAAAACTTAAGACATTCAATTATTCTAGATATGACTCTGAATTCGGATTGTTTTTCAATTGCTCTGACGGAATCTTTAGTTTGAGTTTTCGTGGCATTGCTCCACCTCTATTAGTTTTAGGGTCATTCCCTACATTGGATAAATTAAATTCATACTTTAACTCCTAATACTAGTTTTTCTCAGTTATGACCTCTAAGACAAATGAAAATAATGTTAATTCTTAAGGTCTCAATAGTATATAGCAAAGTAATTTAACTTAAAATAACCAAAAAATCGTCAAAAAATTTGTAACCTACACAATAGAATTCTTAGGATATTTATATGGTTAAAACGTAACTGCTCTCAGATTTACTAATAATAGTACTAATAACTTAAATATTCTGGTAGGCTTATTTCCACTTGATTCTACTGTAAATCTTATAAATGCTTATGGGCTATAAAATGCAGTTCAATCTGCTTGTAAATTAGATTATTTTTATGGTGAAATACCTAGCAAATCTCTAAAAATTGGAGTTACTTTTACCATGTTTTAGCGTATATTTGGTGCCAATGAATCCCTAAGAATATATTTCAATACTTCATCAGTGGCGAAAAACAGCAAAATTTACTTGCTTTCCATTAAAAATAAAGAAAAAGTTATTTTCTCTGAGATGATCTAACTTAATGATAATTTATGGGGCTACAAAAAAGAAATATTGGCCTCTAAGTTTCAAATTCCAAATGGAGGTATCCTGACATTAAATCTGCATAGAATAAAATAAGAATACTTTAACTTCGATACCGCCATTGGGTAAAAAAAATAACCCATTTGTGACTACAATATCATTTAGACTATGATTAATAATGGTTCATTACCAAGAAGTATTTTAGACAATAGTAACTTCTCAGTATTCCACTAGTATTTCAATCATGATACTTAGACTCCTAGCTCTTAATCCTAAGCAAATTATGAGCCATTTTAATATTCATAGTCAGATATATACCAGACTTACCTAATTAAACTAGGAAACAATAGTCAATGCATTCATATCACTCTAAATAGTCTGGTCTAATTTACTGAATTTATCGGAGCTATCTCTTTCTTTAAAAAGGCATAGACTAATACTACTAGAGCAGAGATAAAGTAAATGAGAGATAACTATGTTCCAGGTGATTTGTTCAATACTACTATCAAATCTAATATAAATGGTAGCTATTCAATTATAGTTACAGAGGACAAGCCTAACGATAGCTTACTTATACCTAACCTTACTTATTAAGCTTATTTTAAGAATGAAATCGATGAAAATACTCTTGGATTTTTGAATCCTTAAAATATTACCCTTTAATACTTTGGAGAGAAAGTTCCAGCTGATAATACCACTTATATAGAAGAAATGATTGCATTATAAGCCTGGAGATAACTAGTATTTGAGCCTTCAATGATATAGGCTATGCAACTTGGAATCATGAACATGCAGCAAAATTAATAATTCTTTCAACTTAACATGCTGAGTGTTAGCAAAATTTATGGATTTAACTTTTTCAAAGATTTATCAATGAATGATCAGCTATAAATTCAAAGGTAATTTGAAACAGTTCCAAAGATCAGGAATGTTCCACCAAGTTTCTACAATAAGAGAAATAACAACACTCTTAAATACTATGGAAGCAATACTTTTTCTTAGCAGGCATATTCTCATAATACTTTGGCACTATTAAACTAGAATGTCTCAAGTGATAGAACTGATATTCTTTACTATGGATATAATATGGCCTTTAATACAACAAATTCTTCAAACTTCAAATTCTATCTTAATAATTATCAGTCTGTTTTGAGAATGACTATAAATTACTATGGCCCAAATGGATTTTCTACATCGATTAGAAAAATAAAAATAAGAAGTCCTTTGTTTATTTAAAATCCTCTTCCAAAAGTAATGGTTATGGGAGATACCTTTAATGTTACTGTAAACTTTGCAAATTATTAGACATAAGATTAAATGGCTTTCCCATATGTAGCTTATTAAGATGATTCCTTAAATTGCACTCTACCTAACATTACTAAAACTATAAATAATATTAAGACAAATTCAACTTCATTTATAGCATTAGCGAACAAAAACTCATCCTATTAGTATAGTGTTAAGACCAGTAAAATTTCAAAGTAATCTAAACATATCATATCATTTGTGGTAACTAGAAATCAATCTTTCGAATAATATGAAGCTTCTATAGAGCAATCGACTAAAATACTTCCAATTGGCACAAGAAAATTCGTGAATTCTGCTGGAATCATTTAACTTAACTAAAGTTCTTATATTTAAGATGCAATTCAGTTTACTGTTTTAATGGCTGATGTTTTCCAGTACAATACTACCTTTGTTGAGGTAGTCATTCTTCCTTCTTTTGAGGCTTAATTAAAATAGACATTATCTAACCTTGCCAAGAAAAAAATTGAAACAGCTGATGACATAGTTGTTTAACTTGAACTATTAAATCATTTGATTGATATCCAGAACTAAAGCGCATTAAGTTAAAATAATATTGTTTAGAATATAGGAGTTATTACAGAATCAATTACAAGGGCTAAATATCTTTACAATCAGCTAAACTCATTTACTCCTACCTCTACTCCTGATGGACATACCATTGGTTACGATTATCTAGGAAACAAAACTGAAATAAATTTACCATTATCAGCATTAACAATAAATGTTCTCAAATAGCTTACCTTCCTGGGCAACTATTAAAATATGAACAACAAATATTCTTCAGTTTTTGAGATTATCTAGAAAAATAGAGATAAAAATGGGAACTATAACTTAGGTTCTACAAATATAGCTATTTCAGCACCTTAGAATGTCTCTAACGCTTTTATCTTATACTCAATTAAAGAAGTAGAAAAAGTTTATTCGAACTAGTTGTTGAATATCTCTAATGAACTCTAAATCTTGATAAAAACTGTTAATAAAACTTGTAATCTAAGTGCGAAATTTGATGACCTTAGATCAGACCCTGTACAATTAGCGCTAACTTATCTTGCTGCTTTTAATTATTCTGACTCAAAAATTGTTTAGCTTCAAAATTTGACTGATTTGATATTCAAGCAGTTATTAAAACACTAAAAAAATTCAGGAGAATTTGATTCACCTGTGAACTAGACTTAGTATTAGTATTCTATTCTTAATGGCTAAAATAATAGCAGAGTAATAGAAGCTACAGCTTTGGGTGTTATAGCGATGATTTCTACTAATAAATCCCTTTATGAATAGAACATAACTTAAGCAATCAATTATCTATTAAAACAAAGCAATCAAGGAATGTTTGGAGGCAATCTTGGAACTATTTTAACTTTTAGAGCACTGAAATTATATGCTTATAATCATTCTACACTTGGATCTGATGTTTAATTCATTCTTCAGGGTCCAGGAATTAAAAATAAGATAGCTAAATTCAAAACATATTCAGATCCAATTAAGTTTACTCTTAACAGTTTCGATTTTAACCCAGCATTGAAAGTTGTGCCAATAACAGTATCTATGGGAGGTTCTGGACTCTTAAAGAAGGATTTGGGACTTGCTTACTACACTGTGTATTCTAATATTGACAACAGATATGAGGGATACAATTAAACTAATGCATAACTCAAATTTTCTGTAGCACCATCAACCTCAAGCAATTTATCAACCATTAAAGAAGGGTCCACTGTTACATATTAGGTATATTTGCAAAACCTTAACAAAATCAAAAGTCAAAGCATAATTAAAGTAACATTCCCTTATCCTACTTGCTTGAATTTAAAAAGCGATTCTCTAAACTCATTCAAGATTTCTTAGGGAACTTACAAGATAAATAATGAAGAATCAGAAATTAATCTTTTCATAAGAGGATTAAAGCCTTAAGAAATATTCTAATTATCCATCCCCTTTACAATGAAAGGTGGATATGTTAACTGTTAGAAAAGAGTATCTTACGCTCAGATACTAAACAACGGATAGATTGTTTCTTCCAGAGACTTTAGCTTTTGATGAAATACCCCAAGAATTTAATTTAAGCTTAATTTCATGAATCTCAAATGTACCTTGAATTTTTTTATCATGGGGTTTTGGGGTTTTGGGGTTTTGGGG